CATACAGTCCGTGATATTTCCTTTCAATATTTGTCATTAGCCATGACGCTTATCGTTTGATATTCTTCTCATTTGAAATCATGTGTGAAATATGTGTTTCTCTCTTATTTTTTCTTCCCTTTCACATGAAAAAGTTTTATTGTCCAATTTACAATCAATTTTAATTACTCAATCACTTCTCTATTTAAACCATTATTCATTTCTTGATCTCTTTTTTAGAGACTTCTACTCTCCTTCGAACTATTTTTTTACAATCCTACCATATTTTATGATGCAAATAAGGCTAAAAACACTCAAGATACTCAAAGAGAATCAAAAGGTGACTTGGAGTAAATTTCTAATGACGTGAACACAAATAGAGTTTCAAACCTGGAAAGTTTCAGCAGACTAGTAACAAGATCAAAGGCAAAGAAGCTTAAAGAGTTGTTCCAAGTTTTCACTCAAAAATATGTGGATGATGGGCTGGTCAATTGTGAAAAGTTCAAATATGAGCTTTTAAACAGCCCAAATTCGTAACTTTAATTGGGTTTAAATGATTTGGGATAATTTGAGCCTGTTTGAGTCTTATTGATAATGGATGAATAAGCCTTGTATATGGGATGGATTAGTTGAGTTATTTTAAGTATTTTGGATTGTTTTATTTTAGTTTGAGTTAATTAAGCCCATATAGTTAAGTATAACTCATTCTGGGCTTAAGTCTTGTCTTAGTATTATTACAAGAATGAGCCCATAAGTATATGGTGCCACAAACAATTAATGGTGTTGGTTAAGAATATTGGAGTTACTAGGAGTTATGATAACAATTACATGCCTATAATTAGCCTAGTTATTGTTGGAGTTACAATTGTAATTATTGTGTTGTAACTTATCATTGATTTCTTTGGCTATAAATACTAAAGGAACTCTTCTTTGTGGACATCAAGAGTTGTAATTAAATATTTCATAATTGAGTTAAGAGCGTTTTGCCTTTCTTTTTACTTTATGCACATGGTGTTGATTTGGAATACGATTGTTATTACTTGTATTCAATTTTGATTTCTTATTTCAATTGTTCTTGGTGCTTGTTTGGATTGGGTTCAAGGAATATCATTTATCTTTCTTGGGTTCTATTTAACTTTTACTATTTAGGTGATTGAACAAATTTGATTTCTTTTTACTTGTGATCTAAATTCTGTTCTACACTAATTAAAGAGTTCTAAGGTTCAAGTAAGAGTCTTGGGGTTTGGCATCATTTTATTTGAGATTTCAAACACATGAAATAGTCATCCTGACTTTATTTCTCGCTTATATATTTTTTTTACTTCATTTCTCATCCTAAGACATTTGAACTTTGCATGGGTACCAATAAAGGTTAACCAAACACCTCCATGTCTATTAAAGTAACAACACATGAAAAATGTAATAAAAATATTACAGAACAATCTTATAAACATGACTAGTGTGCATCTATTATTATACAAACATGTAATGGCATGCGTCATTTATCTCATGGTACGTATGATCTATCTCATGGTGTTTGGCATCTGGGAATATTGTGCCAATGGAAGAAATGGTGTGTGTCATTTAGTGTTTATATGTGTAGTAACTAGAAAAAAAACGACGTCATTCTGAGATGGACGGGCAGGAAGAGAGGAAATAAAAGAAAAGAGAAAAGAGGAAAAGAAAAAAAGGAGGAAAGAAAAGAAAAAAGAAAGAAGAAAAGAAGGAAAGGGAGAAAAGAAGGAAAGGGAGAAAAGAAAAGAAAAGAGAGAAGAGAGATCGGGGGAAAGAGAAGGTTCGAGAGAAAGAGAGAAGAGCCAAAGCAGAGAAAAGCAAGAAGAGAGAGAGAGGAGGAGACAGAGGACGGTGATAGAGTAAGCCAAGGGAAGGAGAAAAATGGAGACGGGAGGCGGAGAGGAGCGAGAAGAGAGAGAGAAGAGGAGACAGAGGACGGTGACAGAGCAAGCCAAGGGAAAGAGGAAAATAGAGACGGGAGGTACAGTAAACTTTAAGTTTCATGCGTTTGTTGATGTAGATTTGAAATTTTGACCGTAGATAGAGGATTTTGTGTGATTAAGAGTGGAGGTGTGTGGAGGAGGCCGCAGAAGGAGAGAGAAGAATGAATGTGGTGCGTGAGGTAGAGTATGAGCAGGGGCATATGGAGGAGGCTAGGCCGCGAGAGAAGAGAAAAGAAGGAGTATGGTGTGGGAGTGAAGTTCGT